GTTATTCGGGCTGGGATTCCTCCACTGTCTTGGGGGTGCAGCAGTCTGGACAGACGCCTCCAGTCGGGGAAGGCTTCCCACTTTCAGCCCCCACGGAAACCCGTGTAATTTAAGAAGTGCTCTCTTAGCACTTGGCGGCCGGGGGGGTCCGGGAATGGAGGGTCTCGCATGAGCTGGGTGGGGGGGTCCCAGCAGAGTCCCCAACGGGAAAACTTCTCCCCAGGACTCCACTCTCCTGAGATCCCCGAGATTAGGAAGGGCCAGAGAATCCCTCCATCAGGGGACCCCCGGAACCCGCTGTGGGGTTGCTGAAGGCTGTGGGGCGTGGGCCCTTTATCCTCAGCTCCCCCGCTTCCCAGCGGAGATCCGGCCCCTGTCTCCCGAAGGTGTCCACCACGGCTGGCAGCGGCCGGGGTGGGGACCTCGTGGACATGGCCAGGGGCTGGGGTTTCCCTGGTGCTTGGAGCCAGAGGGGGTGAATGAGTCACGGGTGACTCACCGGGGGCCCCCTCCTCCTCCCACCCAGGAAGGGAGTGGTGTGAGTCAAGGATGCCTGTTGCTAGGGGCAACCACTAACCCCTGATAAATTGGAGAAGGCCGTCAACTTGAATTTTCATATATTGGCCTGCACGCCCCTGGGGACAGGACTGTGGGACACAGCGGCTGCACTGCTAGTCCTACTCCCGCCAGCACCCGAGAGCCAGCCCCTGGCAGTGTCCATCCTGCCCGGAAGGAGCCCAGGAGTCTGGGACTCAACCTCCTTCTCCCTCGAGGGACCCAGGAGTTTAGTCCCAGCCTCCCGCCTCTGCCGCAGGGTCCTTATCGCCCCCGCCTCCGTCCTAGCTTCGGGACCTTCCACCTCCTGACTTCCACCGCAGCCATGTCGCTCCTCCTGCTGGTGGTCTCTGCCCTCCACATCCTCATCCTCATCCTGCTTTTCGTGGCCACTCTGGATAAGGTAAGACTCCTTGGGGGCGGGGTCTCGCTCCGGCCGCGCCCTCTAAAAAATCCCTCTAGCCCCGCCCTCTTTCCTGGCCTGGACCCTCTGGACCCTCACCGCTCACCTCTCCCCTGACCTCCGACGTCTTCTCCCTCCTCCCCCCTGAACCCTCCCTCTTTCCTCCTGCAACCCCGCCCACCCTCCGCCCTCGTCCTGCTCCCACCCACCTCCCCTTCCTAAACCCACCTGGCCTCTGCGTCCACCCCAGTCCTGGTGGACCCTCCCCGGGAAGGAGTCCCTGAATCTCTGGTACGACTGCACTTGGAACAACGACACCAAAACGTGGGCCTGCAGTAACGTCAGCGACAACGGTGAGGGCCGAGGGCAATGACTGGGCTCCAGAATGGTTAGGCCCCCCAAGTCTTCTCTGGGGCCCCAACTTTTCAGTGCACAGGCTGAGCCGGTGGGGTGGCAGCCCCCACCTGTCAGGATGGTAATGGGCAGTTGCTTCTGTAGTAAAGATGGACCAACAGCCCCATCACCCTTAGGCCTCCGAAAGGCTGCAGGGCTGAAGGCTTTGTTTGGGCTACAGGTTTAAGGAATGGGGAGAGAGACCCAAAAATTCTAAGAAGGCTCTGTTTCCAAAGGTCTAAGCAGAGGAGCTGTTGTTCTCAATGGTGCATGGGAGGGGGCAAGGGCAGAACCACATTCTGATTCCAAATTCTAAATTGATGGACCTGCACCCCCTGCAGTTTCAAGGGTAAGAAGGTGGGGCTGAGCTAGAAGAGCAATTGCCCAGCACGGCCCAGCTCTGGGTTCCACCCCCGGTGCTGCAAAAAATAAAATGTGAAAGATTAAGTGCTTTTTCCCTATGATCAAAGCAAGCATTTCGCTCTCTTTTCTATTCAACCTTGTAGTACTGGCGTTGGCCGGAACAAGAGAAAGAAATGGAAGGAATTAGTCAAAAGTTGCTCTGTGCTTAGGAGACATTTTTGTTTATGTAGAAAACCCTTAAAATTCTGCAAAACAACCACCAGAGCTGACCGAGGAATTGAGCGAGTTGGGCTCAAGGTCACAGAAGTGTACTCCTAGGTGTCTAAACTGCGTGGCTCTGAAGGGAGCAGGGGGTACAGGAAGCAAAGGGGCAAAAGATGAGCGAGCAGGGAGAGCTGAGTCCCCGCCTGCTGTGGCCTCACGTCTGTGTCCCTCTGCTGCAGGCTGGCTGAAGGCTGTGCAGGTGCTCATGGTGCTGTCCCTCATCCTGTGCTGCCTGTCCTTCATCCTGTTCATGTTCCAGCTGTACACCATGCGGCGAGGGGGGCTCTTCTACGCCACCGGCCTCTGCCAGCTCTGCACCAGTAAGCCTCACCCCCCACCCCCGCACACACTGGGGGGACCTGGAGGTGGGGGTGGTGCTGGGTCTGGAGAACAGACATCTGCTGAAAGAAGACCTTTTCCAGCATCCCAAGAACCACCAGAGGTGTCTCCCGGGATGCCCACTCTGCCCCAGGGACTGTTGGGAGTTGTAGTTTTTGGTGATTCCGGGGCTGCTTTGACATGTTTCTGAGTCATGGGGAGCTCAGGGCTCCCTAGGAGCTCACACTGGGGAAAGGAGTTTGGGTAATTTGGGTCCCAGGAATGGGGGTGACTCATGAGTACCCCAGAAGGGATATCTGAATCATAGTAGTAGTGTTATTACGCCATCTAACCACTATTTCTTCTGTTGTTGTTTTTTGTTTTTGGAGACAGGGTCATATTGTGTAGCTACGTAGTTCAGGCTGGCCTCAACTCACAGCGATCCTCTTGCCTCAGCCTCCCAAGTGCTGGGATTATAGGCGTGCACCACCACACCCAGCCCCTCTCCTGTTGTATTAACTCACTATTGCATGTCTGGTTTGTGAAAAAAAAAACCCTCACTGGAAATCCCAGCACTCAGGAACCTGAAGCAGGAGAATCGCCACAAGTTTGAGGCCACCCTGGGCTACATAGTGAGTGCAGGGCCATCCTGAGCTACATAGTGAGACCTTGTCTCAAAAACACTATAAGCAAACAAACAAATAAACAAATCCCAGCACTCTGAGAAGCTGAGGAAGGAAGATCATAAATTTAAACACACCTGGGCAATTTAACGAATTAGCAAGACTGTGTCTCAAAATTACAAAACAAAAAAATAAATAAATAAATAAAAAGACTGGGGATGTAGCTGAGTGCAGAGACTCCGGGTTCAGGAAACACAAAATTCCATGGGTGATGGGGCGGGTGGGCAGGTGGAGAGCATGGTGCGAGACCCGGAGGGATTAAATTCCCCAAGGCCACTCTGCAGTAGCTCGATGGCTTTCTCAGGGTTGGGAGCCACGGCCCGCAGGCCCACACGGCCCCTCGCGGGTGGGTGGGACGCACAGTTACGCCCGGCCCGTGTTCCTGTAGGCGTGGCTGTGTTTTCCGGGGCCCTGATCTATGCCATCCACGCCGAGGAGATCGTGGCAAAGCACCCGCGCGGGGGCAGCTTCGGGTACTGCTTCGCGCTGGCCTGGGTGGCCTTCCCCCTGGCGCTGGTCAGCGGCATCGTCTACATCCACCTGCGGAAGCGGGAGTGAGCGCCCCACCCGCTGCCCAGCCCCGACCCTCCAGAAAATAAAACCGTTTGACCGCCGCCTCCTGCGCTGGCCTCCTTCCTTCCTGAATCCCGGGGGACGCAAGCGGCGCAGGCCTGATCTCTGCCTAACTAAACCCAGGAGGGTCCCACCAGCCACTGCGCCACTGGAATGCCCATTTCTGGGGACCCCAGAGCAGAACCCTGGCCCTCCTATGATCCTACGTGCGGGAGGCTGAGGGAGGAGGACCCTGTCTGAGGGGAGGGGCTGAGAGGTCTACTGTCCAGCCCCTCCTCTCTGCTGAAGGTTCTGCTCCTCAGCTGCGCAGTCTCTGGGCCCAAGCATTGCTGTGTGTGTTCTTACATTGTCGATCTCTTCGGCCTTCTCTGTGCCCCTCCCTCGGGAGTGTTTTTCTCTGTCTGTCTTGGAAACCATTCTCTCTTCCTCTCTAGAACCCCATCCTTCCCCTTTTTCTCTCTCAAAGACTGACTGCCTCTCGCTGTCATGACACTTTTTTGGGGCGGGGGTACCAGGGATCAAACTCAAGACCTTGCACTTGCAAGGCAGGCAGCGGAACCATTGAGCTAAATCCCAAGCCCCATGTTATGACACTTTACTAAATATCAGAAGGCACGGCCCTCCTGCAGGCTGACCTCCTCTTACGCAGACACAGGGTGGCCCCGGACTTCACAGCCACTCACCCTGGGGCTGTGTGCTCTCGATCAGCGAGCTCTCTAAACTACCGCCCGGCTCGTGACACCCAGAATCAGGCCGTCCGAAATGAGGTACTTGTAAGATCCTCTTCTGTAACCCACAGTCAGCGTTGCAGCAACCACAAACCCAGCTCTCTAACCCTGAAGCTTTCTCTGTGTGGAACCCCTCGAGACGCAGTTCCTGTCCAGGATTCAGATCCCCCTCGCATTGCTTCAGTCACCTTGCACATCCGCACTTATTAAACATGATTTATTTCTTTGGGAGAAAGGACTGGGAAGAAATTGACAGACCAATAAATACCGCAGGGGGTGGGGGTGGGGCTCCGGAGCGAGGTAGTTTCTGTAGAAAAGGCGAGCGCTCCAGACAGGAAGGCACCTGAGGTTGTTGGGAGCCTGAGCTGCAGTGAGTCTGGGGTGAGGGTGGTCCCTGCTTCCCCCAGGTCCGCAGCTTCCGGCCCGGCCCAAGGTTCCAGCGCCTTGGCCCCGACACCCTGGTCAACAGGTGACCAGATGGCCGGCACCCGGCAGCAGTGACGGGAGACAAAGACCAGGCTCCGCTAGGAAGGGGTCGCTTGCCTCTCTGCAGGGACACTGGGCTGCCTCGGCCCAAGGTGCCCAGCAGCTGCCCCGGGCCGGGGAGCGGGGCCGCGTGGCGCTCATTGGCTGCGCCGGCCCCGCCCAGGGCCCAAGATGGGCCGGCCCACCCCACCCAGACAGAGATGGGCTCAGTTCTCGGCCTCGGCCTGTGGCTTACAGAGCCGCAGCCGAACAGCTGGGACCAGCTGACACCAACTCCCGCCAAACCAGTTCGATGTTTATGGCGAGGTGGGACTAAGAAATGGAACAGCAGCCGGGCGTGGTGGCGCACTCCTGTAATCAATCCCAGCACTCGGGAGACTGAGGCAGGAGGATCGCTGTGGGTTCGAGATCAGCCTGGCCTACATTGTGAGTTCCAGGTCAGTCTCAACTACATAGTGAGACCCTGTCTCAAAATATCAAAAAAAGAAAAAAAAAGAAATGGAACAGCAGCCGAACGGAGGTGCCTTGACCGGCTGTTCCACCAGAAGGGAGGATGCCTAGCAACTGTCTTGGACTGACTGCTTTAAGTATACAGCATAGCCAAAGTAATAACCTGTCAGTAACTGGGAGTTGGAGAGCGACAAAGCCTAGTAGTCGTGACTGACAGCCCACCGTGGAGGGGGCGGAGCTTGGCCCCTGGCCGGTGGCAGGTAGGCCCCCCCCATGCAGGCAGCTCGAGGCAATCAGGGGTCGCTACCCCTGGGAGCGGCCCGGGGGACCTCAGCAATGCCTGGGGACAAAGGGTCCAGCTGGGGGAAGCCCGGGGGAGGGTAGAGGCCCATGCTGGGGGTCAGGGCTTGCAGGTGGGCCAGGGCCCGAGATCCGTCGAAGGCCACGTCACAGCCAGACTGGGCCCGGAGCCAGCTCTCCACTTCCGACTGCAGCCATCGGGAGGTCTCTGCGGAGAAAGGCAGGTGTGAGGCTGGCCTGGGGCGGGGCACAGCTAGCCGGGCTGGGGAGACGCCCAGGGCTTCCGCTCTGAGACACTGCGTTCAGGGAACCGTGGGGGCCCGGGGTTAAAGGGAGGGACGGGGTCTCCTGTGGGGAGAG